CAATTCGCCTTGCTCCGAGGAAGGGGGGGGATTGACGGGTGGGAGCGGAGGACGAGGAGGAGCTCGGAGGCAGGGAGGGGTGGAGGGAGGAGGGCGGATGGAGGAGCAGGCGTGACGGGCAGCGTGGAAGCGGGAGGGGCAGTTCAAGTGAGAGGAGATCGGATCGGATCGGAACGGAGGCTCGTCGTCAGCCTATACCATGCGCGCGTCGCGACGCACTATGCGCCCCGTACTTGCGACAAAAAAAGGCATGCGGGCGATCGTTTCTGGCCCGGGCCAACGGCACAGGGGGGAACTGGGGGAGACCCGGAGGGTGAGCGGGCCGGCGGGAGAAGGGAAGAGGGAGGAGGACGGCGGATTGGGGGGAGGCACGGAGAATTTTGGCGCGCGCCGCGATGAAGCCTGATAGCTCTCTTGCACGCCTGCTCTCGCCTCTGGACGCCGCACTTCCCCTCCCCCACTGGTGGCCACCTCGCTTGGCGAGGCAGTCAGTAGTGGGCCTCGGTGGTGCGTCCTGTGTTTGTTTGCACGTGAATGCGGCACCGCTGCGTTGCCTTCGGTTGGCGAGTCCCGAGTCCGACACTGGATGCTCTTGATGCTTTTGCATTTGATGGGGCTGCCACGTGAAGCGAAAGGTGGCGGAGATCGAACAGGGCGGAGGGAGAAGGTGGAGAAGGAAGGAGGGGCGTAAGCAGAAGTGGGGAGGATCCCCCCTAATCTTGCAACGGCCCTGTCTCCTCATCTTTCTTCCCCCTTCTCCCCTCGCCTCGCCCCCCCCCCCCCTTTCTCCTCCTACGTTTTCTCGCTCTCGGTGGCCGAACCCTCCGCCAGCTCCGAAAATTGGTGTTGGATCCACATTTCGTCCCAGCCTGCTGCGGATCTTCTGCGTTGGTGCCCCCAGCATTGACCGTGGGGGATCTGCGGCCTCGCTGTCCTGCTTGCTTTCCCCTGCGGGGACGGCGACCACCACGAGCGCGACTATGACGAGCGCCACGAAGACGACCACGACGACCTCGACGTCGACCACGTCGAAGGCGACGGCCACGACCGCGATGGCGACGACGACCACGACCACGACGACGACGACGGCGAGGGAGACGACGGCGATGACGACGCAGACGGCAACCACGACCGCGGCGACGACCACGGCGACGACCACGGCGGCCTCGGCCCGCCAGCGGCGCCGCCGGAGAGCCGCGCCCCGCTCGTCCTCCTGCACGGCTTCGACTCCTCCGCCCTGGAGTTCCGCCGCCTGCTGCCCGAGCTCGAGGCGAGAGGCGCCCTGCCAGCGGGGGGGGGGGGGGGGGGAGCGACCCGCGACGACGACGGCGAGGGTTTTGCGAGGGGCCCGCTGCGAGAGCGACGGCGGCGGCCTGGGTCGACGGCGGCGGCGACGGCCAGGAAGAGGAGGGAGGAGAAGGAGGAGGAGGAGGAGGAGAAGGAGGAGGAGAAGGAGGAGAAGGAGGAGGAGGAGGAGGAGAAAGAAAAGGAGGAGGAGGAGGAGGAGGAGGAGGAGGAGGAGGAGGAGGAGGAGGGAGGAGGACGACGGCGAGGGTGAGGCCGACGAGGGAGGAGGGCGACAGAGAGCGGAGACGGTGGCGAGGGCTGCGGCTGCACACGCGAGGGCGCCAGCCGGGAGGCGGCGCGGGGTCGAAGAGGGGTGCGTCTTTGTTGGTCGGGGGGAAGCTGTGCCCGTGAGCCAGGATGGCAAACAGTACTGCTACCCTCTAGGCCTCCCAGATGGGGTCCGAGCAGATGGGGTCGGAGGATCGCGCCGAATCCCCGATGCATCGCTGGTGAGGCTCGATGCGGAGCTCGATTTTCTCCACACCGACGCCGACGCGTCGCCGACATCGGCGATGCATCACCGATGCATTGCCGATGCATCGCCGAAAAAATGGCGATGCTGCGCGATCCTCCGACCCCGTCTACTCGGACCCCATCTAGGACCTCTACACCCGTCAGGCTTCCGCTGTAGGTCCCCGCTGCTGCTGCTGCTGCTGCTGCTGCTGCTGCTGCTGCTGCTGCTGCTGCTGCTGCTCTGCGTTGGGCCTGGGGGATCGATGGCGACGGCGGCTCGGTGCCTCCCGCATCCTGCTGCTCCTCCTCGTCCTCGGCCTCGCGCTCCGCGTGCAGCATCGTGCTGGCAAGCAGGGAGGAGGCGGCAGGAGGTAGGCCGTGCGCGGGGGGGTGGCAGCTGAGGGTCGCTTCTGGGACCACCTTCCTGCAACTTGTGTGTGTGTGTGTTTTTCCCCTGACGTCGTGATTTGTTCATAGCGTCGACCCCCTGGGGCCTGGACCCAGTCCCCGGGACTGGCTGTTCATCTCGACTTGTTTTTCTGACGACCCCGAGGCTGGGGCCAGGGCCCCCAGAGGCCTAAAGATAACGAGTAGCCTCACGTCGTGATTTTTGTATGACTCGAGGGGGTCTGGGGACTCGAGCTGCCCCCACATGTTATGTCCACGCCTTTAGCCGCCCCCGCATGTTGTGCCTCACGCGTCAACTTTTCCACCCCGACGGCGACGGGGAGGGGTCCGCGGGAGGTGTGCCCGTGTACTTTCTGGACCTGCTGGGCTGGGGCTTCGGGGACGCCGTGGGCGTCAAGGAGACTGCCGCCCAACTCCAGCTCCTCCCCCTCGAGCGCTTTTAGGGAAACAAGCAATAACATAGATATAATAACTCGGAGATGGTGGCCTTTGACCGGAACGGCGCTCTTCGAGAGGAACCGCGGGCATCAGGCTTGCTTAGCGCTGTCGTGTGGGGGCACTTTGCAGTGGCAGTGCGTACCGTTTCACTGAGCTGGCGGAGACGTGGTAACATATGGTGGGGTGCGCCCCATGGAAGAATATATTATATATGTAGATATACAATCATTTACACACAAAGACATATACACATTGCTCCGGGGACCGGGTCTCCCCGTTTGCGCAGAGGAGTTGAAGAGTGATAGTAAGGCATGACATGTTGCTGGCTCATCCCGCTCGTCCCGCACCTCGTCATCCCCCCTCTCCCAGTGGACGTTTTCAAAGGAACAAAAGGTAATGACCATGATATGTTCCAGATGTTCCCAGACTTCTTTGAGATTTTTGAGATTTCCTCATTTTCCATGGGTTGGAGAAACAAGAGCCACCAAATATTATGGAAATCCTTGAACGCACCCTGAGCCAATCCCAGCATGACATCATAATCGTACCAGTTGTGGCTCAGGGTTGCGCCTCGCACCTGCATATAGTGATTGTCTCAGAGGGTCGCGGTCCCCGCGCCGACAAGCCATGATCTGGGCGCAACAGGCAGTGGGGATCAGGTCGGACCCTCTGACGTGCCTCTCCCAGATGGGTGGCATCTCGGTAAAGGAGAACATGAGCATCATTGAGGCGGTCAGTGCTGCGATGGGCCAGGAAATCGAGATGGCCAACGCGTACCAGGTTTGGGCCAAGGGCGGTTACGACGACAAATTCTTCGGCGCCGAGCAGACCAACGTCTGCCTCCGCAACCTGAAGCAGATTTTCGGGGATTGTACCCCTTGGACTCTTGATATATTTTACCGAGAGGGCGTGGGGGATGAGATGGCGTTCCACTTAGATCGCCCTTTCTCGTGCACTTGTTTCTGTCTTGGCCGGCCCACAGCCACGATGACGGACAAAGATGGTAACGTCCTAGGTTCCATACGCGATCCGTCGGGAATGTGCAAGGGCCTCGCCTTCGAGATCAACGACTCAGATGGAGAGACAGTTCTCACAATGGGCACTGGATGTTGCCCCATCGGGTACTACTGCCCCCTTCCGTGGTTTCCAACGTGCCGGGACATCTCCATGCCGATAGTGGATGCGAATGGCGAGCAGGTTGGTATGCTCACCAAGCGGGTCCCCAGCATGTTCCGGTTCATGGTCGCCCCGGACGTCGACAATTACGAGGTCTCCTGGGAGGGCGTGGAGGACCCAAAGTTGAGGGCGCTCTTGATGGCAACCACCATGTTCATCCCGGGGGGGTCCGAAAAGGGGGGAGGGGGGAGGGGAGCCGGGCGAAAATTGCTGCATGCGCCTGACCTCGGCCCCGTTGACGCCTGGTCGCGCCCGACGCCTCGGGGCGCCCAGGTCGCAAGTGCAACTGGTTGGCCCCACCCTCCCTTGCCGCTTCCCCTCCCCTTCTCTAGGGGGCCACATGCGAACCCTACCCCTACCCCCCACGATTTCAGAGGGGGAAGGTGGGGTTCACTTCGCTCGGGAGCTCCCGAACGAAGTGAACCCCACCCTCCCCCTCAGAAATCGTGGGGGGGCAGGGGTAGGGTTCGCATGTGGCCCCCTATTCTCAGAAAGGGCCTCTCCCTCGACGGATCGAGAGGTTGTCCGCTCTTCTTTGGCGGGCGTGCTGGCGGGAGAAACGTGATGGCGGGTCCGCCGGCGCAAAGCCGGCGGAAAGCGGCGGAAGTTCGAGGGGTGCGCACCCAAGATATGTCAACATGCTTGGGCTCCTGGTTTCCGAAGCGGCCCAGATGTTTTACAGATCAGCTCGCGCTTGGGGAGACTCCCACAACCAATCCGTACAAAACGAGCATCAAGAAGGAGTGGGTGTGACAGCGCTGGTGGTTGGCATGGCTTTGCCTGACGGCGACGGGCGAACGTGGTCTTCTGTCACGTTGCGGCAGCCCCTGGGAGGTTTCATTCTCGGCCCTGGCATTTCCTTGGTATTCTTTCGAGTATCTGAGGCTCAGTCTGGGCTAGTTCGGCTTAATATGTCTTCGTCCTTGGTGCAGTCCAACGTGATCACGGGTAAGACTTTTTGTCGCGGCCCGATAGTTGGTAATCATGCACGCGAGACCCCCCTTGAGTTGCCCCCTGACCTCTGACTGTCGCCCCCCCGGACCGTCGACTTTCGTTACTTCAACGACAACACCAACGACGACGGAAGGCTGGACAAGGTGAAGGACTGGGTGAAGGGCGACGAGAAGGAGGCAGCCTGAGCCAGGCGGACTGTGGGGTGGGTTTGGCCAGCATCCCTCCTCTTTGCTCCACATTCCTTCCTCCTCGCTCATTCGTCCTCCCTTCTCACGCCTCGCTCCTCCTCTTCCGCCCTCCTTCCGCTTGATTGTGCGAGGACCTTCTGGTAACACCCGTCGGACCCAGACCCCGAGTCTGTCCTTCCCTCTTCCCCCCCCTCATCACCACGGGCGGCGGCGACGGGGAGGGGAAGGATCAACAGGGTTAGAAGCAGGAGGACGAGTAGGATGTGGAGGGAAGAGGAGGAGGAGGAGGAGGAGGAGGAGGAGGAGGAGGAGGAGGAGGAGGAGGAGGAGGAGGAGGAGGAGGAGGAGGGGGCTTGTTAGAAAAATCTCGCACACGCGTCCAACCCCCTCGTTACTCCTACAGTCAAGACGCTGAAATAAGGAACAGTACGGGTTCGGAAGGGGCTCGATGTTCCTTAGGTTCCTCCAGTGCTGTTCCTCTTGCCCTCCTGGGGCACGGAGGCGCTTACAGGGCCAAGAAAGGATTTCGTTCCTTATTTAGCGTTCTTGTCCCCTTGTCCCCCTTCTCTCATCATTTTCCCTCCGTGCACCCCTTGCCCGCCATCTCCACCAGCCGTTCTTCTGTGAATCGCCTTTCGTCGTCGCATTACCAGCTGCGTAGATAGGGTGTGTTTGGCCTTACAAGGTACGATCATCATGCTCGAACATTTCAACAGCTATTTGGATGGAGGGGGGCGTCTTGAACATATGAATGCGACTCTCGCGCTTGTGCCGCGCAAATCAATTACAACTGTTGCAATCAATAGCACTGCTGATGCAGAGTCGGTGGTGTTCAACATACGGTTCTTCTGTTTGCAACGCGTGCACTTGTTTCACGCATGCTTCCAATTGGTTCACGATTTGAGGGCGGGCTGTTTACAGGATGTGGATATCGTTTCACAGATCATGGTTCTAGACTTTCGTGACCCTAGTTTTAGTTAAGTGCACACCGGCAACACAGAGGGAGCGCGATCCCGTTTCAAACCGGAGCTGTCGTTCGGTGGATATTTGCAGATACGATCCCCACATGATGTGCTACATGCTTTCGGATGCAACTCCTGGGATGTCAAATTCTGACTTTGCCCTGATCCGAAATCCGGCTGAATCCGGCTGAATCCCGCTTAGTCGGGCTCAATTTGGCTCAATCTGGTTTAACCCGCGGCTTGATCCGCGGTTTAGTCTGGCCTAGCAGACTCCAAACGGGGTTGAATTGGGGGCCCAAAGAATATACACCACCACCACGTCGATTCCTCCTCTCTCCTCTGTCCAGCGACAGGGAGGGGGGGAGGGGGAGGTGGTGGTGTGTATTTTTTGGCCCCCCTTAACCCCCCTCATTCCTTCCGACGAAGACCCTCCAGCCGTTGCTTCCCAACGTGCCCATCTGGACGAGTGGCGGTTCTTCTTCTTCTTCTTCTTCAGAACGGAGCCTCCCGCCTGACTGGCAGGCGCACGGGGCGCCCGTCGGATTCGGGGGCGCTCCGTGCGGTGAAGAAGCATCCGTTCATGGACGCGCGAGGAGGAGATCTGGGCACACTCGCTCGGTGATTGCGCGATCGTCGATGCACTGTTGACCTACATCCCCAGGCCGAAAGTTTTCCCTCTTGGACTAAAAATATGAGAACATCCATGGATCCAATTGGATCCCTTTTTTCGGGTGTGGGAGAATTTCGTGGATCCTATTTCGGTGTTGCGCGGATCCAAAAATATGAGAACATCAATGGATCCAATTGGATCCCTTTTCGGGTGTGGGAGAGTTTCGTGGATCCTATTTCTGTGTTGCGCGGATCCAATTTCCTGTGTGAAAAAAAGATGGATCCATTTATTTCCCGGGAATAAGTCTATAGTAATAATTAACATCCGGGGCCCAGGGGAAATGGGATCCGTTGAGCACCGCAATTGAAGCATCATGCTATCCACGGAGCTGTGGATCTGCATACCAATGCTATGATTCTACGGGGGAGGGGGTCTTCCCAGGATGAAGAGGGGAAGGATGAGGGAAGAGGCAAGAGGAGGTGGGAGGAGAACAGAGGGGACGCAGGACGGGAGAGAGGAGGAATAATCAGGGAAGAGAGGGGGGGAGGAGGAAGGAAGAGGAGAAGGAGGAGGAGAAGGAGGATGAGGGAGGAGGGAGGAGAGAGGAGGGAGGCGGACGGACGAAGGAGGAAGGAGGAGGAGGGAGGAGGTGGGAGGAGGAGGGGGGAAGTGGGAGGAGGAGGAGAGGAAGGGATGAGGGAGGGGGAGGACACACAAGCAAAGTATCCAAGTCGGAAGCTCGAGCGCCACAGCGGGCCAGGCCACCTTCGTTCACTTCTCCCATAACATGCGGTTGCTCGAGCGCCACCGCGGGCCTGGCCATCTCCCGAACGTCCTCCCATAACATAAGTTTGCTCGAACGCCACAGCGGGCCCGGTCAACTCCCGCATCTTCACCCATCACATATCTACCCGACCTCGAAGCGAGCGCTACGTGTATCCGCTCACCTGAACGGCGCGTCGCTTCCGACATGTGGGGCTCAAGAGGAAAATCGTTCGGCCTGCGTAAGTACTCTGGTCGTCCATCCCCCGCTCTTTCAGCTCCACCTGCTCATCCCTCCCCCTTCCTCCTGGAACCCTTGGAGCTGTCCAGCCCGGAACAAGCGCTTCGTGCGTTTGCCACATCTCCTGCAGAGTCTGTCCACACCGAATAATCCAGCAACGCCTCCCCCAAACCGTTCAGGACGATCTTTACCTGCCTCCATCCTTCAGATCAGAAAGATCATTACAATCGTCCTTCCCCCGCTTCCCCACTCCCCCTCACCACCTTCCTATTACCATCATCCCCTCATCAGTTGTTCCCCCTCCTTCCACGTCCCTGTTCGTCTCCCTTGAGGCGCACGCGCGATGGCCAGGTGTATAGTTACTCCCGCTCTTCTGTCCTTCGGCATGCCGATTAGTTGCAAGGCTGTTGAGTTGGATGCTCTCGCGTGGTCTCGTTCGAGGGTGGAGGAAGGAGGGTTGAATGATCAGGGGCTTCAAGGTGTGCTGCGTGGTTCTGGAGGTGGGGGGTCTGGCTGCAACGCGGTGGGGGACCTTGTTCAGGAGGACCTAGAGGAGGGGGGAGGGGGGTCAGCAGAGGAGGCGGACGAGGGGGTGGGGGTAGAGGAACAGGCGCAGGGGCAGGAGGAAGAGGAAGAGGAGGCAAAGGATGAGGGCGGTGGTGGTGTGGGTGGTCGTGGGCGCATTCCTGTCTAGGGGCCCATATTGTGGCAGGCGCTGTGGCAGTATAGTTTGCTCGACCAGCGTAGCCACTCTGTACATCGATTTCTACTGGTCTCCCAGCGCGCCATGAGGATCATCGATTACAAAGCTTGACAACGCTGCGCTCGCCCAGTAAAAGCCCGTCCTCGCATCCGCCCCCTTTTCTCGCCATCCAGCAGCAGCCCCACTCACCACCTTTGGCTCCCCTGTCCTCCCCGGCTCACGCAGCAGTTGCAAGGAGGTCGGGCGCTTCGTTTCCACAATGGAGCGCTCGCCGTAGCGCCGCGCACATTCGTCACAATTGAGTACAAGTGTTGCAGGGGGTGGAGGAGGGCCGTTATCAAAGTCAGGCTTTCACCTTAGCGCCGCGCACGGTCGTTCTAAATGATTGCATCTTTTACAATGATGGAGGTGGTCGTTTCCAAAGCGGGGCTCTCGCTTGAGACTTCCTGTTTTTGAAGACCATACGCTGGACGATTTGTAATCGCGGCATGGATGCGGCGCAGCTCCATCTCAACATGGGGCCTCTCGCTTGGGACCTCCTCACAGTTCTGGAGGGAGTAGCAGCGTAAAGTGATGCAACGGTTGCATCGATGGGGGGGGCGGCCATTTTTCCAGACGGGAGCTCGCTGGACACCCCGTTGAGCTGTACCTACGATCCTTTTCCCTGAGGTCCGACGGCGCGGAAAAAGTAAAGCACTGGAGAAGAACACGACCAGAGCCCCCGGGACCCCATCCCTCTGCGCCATATGTTTCGAGCCGGATCCAGCTGTGGGGGCCCCGGGGCCCGAGGCTCGGCGAGAACGCCAGGCTCGACGAAACGGGGACGCCAGGGTTTTTCAGGGCCTCCGCATGCCGTACGGCCCAGACGCTGAAACGGGGCGTTCCAAAAAGGGCCTTGCCTTCGAGGGTAGAGAGAGTTGCCATCTCTTCCGCGGCGGAAGGCGGCGGAAGGGCGGCGGAAGGTCGGCGGACGTAAAACGAGGCCGCCTCCGCCGGCGGCAGGCGGCGGAAGTAAGGCATGCGCCAAACGCTTTTGGGTACAGGGTTTTCGGGGTCGGACAAGTAAGGGACCAGCGTGGACTCTGGAGGGGCTCCAGGATTCCGGGCCGCTCCGGAGGCTTTCGCCGTGGGGCCTGCTCGTGGCACAGGCCCGCCGCCGTGGCCAGAGGCGCCCCATTCGTGCCTTGAAAGTCGTACCGAGGTCTAAGATCGAGTTCGGCTCGGGTGGCCTGCCCTGGCGCTCTTCGTGCCTGCCAGAGGTTCTCCCTTGGAGGTTCTGTGTGCGTTGGCCGGTGGAGGGCCTCACGTTCTTGAAGAATGCTCTTCTGGCTTGGGTCCGACTGCGACGTTGCAATACAGGTGGCGCAAGAGATGCGGTTTTATCTATGGCGTGCAAGCTATGGTGCGCAATCTTTGCTGTGCAGCAATACATGTATATATATACATATATATATATATATATATATATATGTGTGTGTATGTCTCGATCTAGGTTGTGCACTAGATGCTGTGCAGTCGATACGGTGCGGCAGGTGCTGCGCAGCTTACGTCATGCCACCCACGCGATGCAACACGCGAGGTGCAATTTGTGTGGTGTAGGACGATGGCCGCACTGCTCGCTCAAAGGCTGCGGGCGCGCCAGGCTGCGCGGCCCCCGCCGGCTGGCGGGGCGCACGCCCCGCCCCCCCCCCCGCGGGGCGGCCCGCATGGTCGGCGCCGCGGCGGGCTCGGGCCGGACGCCCTTGGAGGCCGCGCTGCAGAGCGAGGAGGGCCTGCACGTAGGCGTGGCCCTCTGCCGGAGGGGCCTCTGGTGCGGGACCTCGGGGCTCAAGATGCGGGCCCCAAGGGCAGACCCCAAACCCGCCTCCATTCCCGCTCCCTCCTCCACCCTGGACGTTGCAGTTGCCGTCGTCCGATTCGGGCCCGTTGGGGCCCCCTTTCGGGTCCCCCGAGCGCGCCAATTTTTTTCGAGCTGTGCCCGGCCGCTGGGGCGACGAGATGTTGGTCCCGCAGAGAAGTAGTTGGTCCCTCTTCTCTTCCCTCCCTCGGGCTGGCGGCGGCGCGCGGCGGCCTCGTCGGCTGGCTGGCGGCAGCGGGCAGGCTCCCGCCTGGCGCAAGCCCCCCTCTCTCTCACCACGATTTCTTGTGCGGGGGAGGGGGGGAGCAGGGTGGTGGCCCCGTACAAGAGACGGGTCCGTGCCAACGGGGGTTCGCCAGGGCGCCGGATCCTGCAGCAGGGTCCTGCAGAGCCAGGGGCGCACTGGCCAGGGTTTCGGGTGCAGGACATCCTGCAGGAGCTTGCAGGGTGCGAAGCTTGACTGGCCCGGGTCTGGATGGACCCGGGTCGGTAGATCCCCGAGGCCCATTCGGCTCCCCATCGCCGAAAGCGTGGGTGTGGCCCCCCCGCGGCTCCCCGAGGGGCCGCGCGCCAGAGGTCCCTCTTGCCTTGGGTGGCTCCTCGCGTGTGGCCGAGAGGAGCTCGGCCTCGCCCTGAGCCGCTTCCTGCGGGTGCCCGCCGCGCAGCGCCTGCGGTCGGCACCGCTCAAACATGCTAGTGTTACGTCGGGCATGACCCTCTACAGGAGAAGGATTCCAGAATAGTGGAACGTATGGGATCGATGTTTCGTGCTCGTTTGACTACTTATTTGTTTTTGTCCCAGCCATCCTGTGGTATTGGGTCTTCGTTTCGAAGAAACACCGCCCCGCGTTCTCCTCCTCTTCCCCCTCCTCCTCCTCCTTCTCCTCCTCCTCCTCCTCCTCCTCCTCCTCGTCCTTGTGCGCGGTCGAATAGAGGTTTGACGAGGGCGCGCACAGAATCGCCTTGCAGCAGGTCGAGCTGGACTCCTCCTCCTCCTCCTCCTCCTCCTCCTCCTCCTCCTCCTCCTCCTCCTCCTCCTCCTCCTCCTCCCATCACCCTCATCAACATCATCGCCGTCATCACCACCCAGTTTGGCACACCGTTCACACGTCTCGTGACCCCACAGGGAGCTCCACCTACGGTGGCGACGTTCCCATGCGCCCCCGCCACCCATTTTGGTACACCCCTCACATGGTTCGTGGCCCCATCAGGAGCTCCACCGAAGGCCCCAGTGGCGACGGTCCCATTCGTCCGCGCTACCCATTTTCGGCACACCCCTCATACGGTTCGTGGCCCCAGAGGGAACTCCACCTGAGACCCCAGCGGCGACGTTCCCATGCGTCCCCGCCACCCATTTTGGCACACCCCTCATACGCTTCGTGGCCCCATAGGGAGCCCCACCGAAGGCCCCAGTGGCGACGGTCCCATTCGTCCGCGCTACCCATTTTCGGCACACCCCTCATACGGTTCGTGGCCCCGTAGGGAGCTCCACCGAAGGCTCCAGTGGCGAAATTCCCATGCGTCCGCACCATCCGTTTTGGCACACCCTGCACAGGGCTCGTGGCCCCATAGGGAGCTCCACCTAAGACTCCAGTGGCGACGTTCCCATGCGTCCCCGCCACCCATTTTGGCACACCCTTCATACGGTTCGTGACTCCATAGGGAGTTCCACCTAAGGCTTCAATGGCGACGTTTCCATGCGTCTCCGCCACTCATTTTCGGCACACCCCTCACACGTTTCGTGACCCCATAGGGAGCCCCACCGAAGGCCCCAGTGGCGTGGTTCCCGTGCGCCCCCGCCATCTATTTTGGCACACCCCTCACACGGCTCGTGGCCCCGCAGGGAGCTCCACCGAAGGCCCCAGTGGCGACGTTCCCATGCGTCCGCGCCACCTATTTTCGGTACGCCCCCCACACGGTTCGTGGCCCCATAGGGAGCTCCACCGAAGGCCCCAGTGGCGACGTTCGCATGCGTCCGCGCCACCTATTTTCGGCACGCCCCCCCCCCACGGTTCGTGGTCCCATAGGGAGCGCCACCGAAAACGATATCCACATTTGCGGCACTCACAGTTGCGAATGGTTGTGTCCTTCGCCAGGCTAATGTTTGATTGCCCATGCTTTGCATGTTCCGTTCAAGATCCGCCCATAGGAGGACAAGCCCGATCTAATATTTCTGCTATCTGCGCGTCGGCCACGCCATGGCGACGCGCACGCTCGGAAATCTTGTTGTACCAGCTCCGTGGCGTGCGCATTCTGGCCATACCGTTCGGGAAACGACGTACGACAATCTGATGTGCCACATGTTCGGGTCGGATGTGCGTCTCCAACAGAGGCACACTGTGTTAGTATGTCATTCTGCGTCCCATTTGGTGTTGGCGGGGCAAGAACATCAGAGGAGCAGGAGGGCCAATCTGTGCAAAATGCATCAGGCCCCTACCGTTTCGCAGACTTCCCTCGGGGCTATGTTCCAGTTTTTTGTATACAACCGTCTTAGTATCAAACTTTCCTGCCCACACGGGCTGCAAACAATACCAGGGCTGCCAGAAACTCTGGAACTCTTGGAACGCATCCCGGGCCAATCGCATCATGACATCACATCCGTTCTGATGAACCACAGAAGCATAAAGTGTCAAATCTCCGCGCTGGTCTCGTGGATCGGCGCTGGCCATCCCTCTCTGGGTGCGGCGGCACGGAGGTCCGAAGGTTTATAGTGATTCAGAAGCCTCCCTCCGAAGAACTGCGCCAGGGTTTCTTTACCAGATTGCCGGAAAGCTGGCCCGGTTTTTTGGGCGCGTTGGCCCTTCCAGCGTTGGCGCGAACATTTGGCACAGGCTTCGCGGCTTGTCTTAAGAAACTTCTGGGATGCTGGCCTAGGTTTCTTAAACGATGTGGTTCTTGATCATACGCTCGGTTGTGTGCTTGTCACGTTTTTTGTTCCTCTAGGTGTACGGCGCGGTGGTGCTTCTCGCCGGCGGCCTTGCCCCACACCCACCGCGCGCTGGCAGCGAGGCTCTCGGCAGAGAAGCATCTGCCGCCGCGCTGTTTGTTCCGGCGCGCGGCCTTCCGTCTCGGCGAGGGCGCCGCGGTCACCGGGGAAGACGCCCCCTAGGGCGTGGTGGGTTCGCCGTGGGTTCGCAGCGGTGCCAGCGTCGTCTCCTTGGGGCGCGGGGCTCAGGGCTTGCCGTGGGTTTGCCGTTGTGTCGTCGTCGTCGTCCACTTGGGCGCGTCCAGAACAAACGATGCGGCCTGCAGTTGCACCGCTGCCCGCCGGAGCCCTTCCATCGTTTCCGGCACCTTGGGGTCGCCTCCCTGCGAGAGGGGCCTTATCGTCGCCACGGCTGGCCGCGCCTCGGGGTTAGAGCGCGCCACCGGAGGGGTCGCTGGAGCAGGGGTGCACCTCTTGGCTCCCCCCGGAGGCGCTCGATCTGCCGGTCGTTCGCGCTGGTGGAGCTGGCCCTGCGGTGGGACAGCCGGGGCAACCACGTCGACGCCGGCTGGGCGCCGCAGGTTCGGCTGGAGGACGCTCTAAGCCTCGGGGCTGCGCACAGACTCGGCGGTTCAAAGGTGGAGCCCTGAGGGATTAGACCCTATAGTCGCCAGCGATCCTTCTCCCCCTACCCCCGACGTCTCGACGAAAAATGAAGCCGCTCAGAAGAGGGGGAGAACTCTGGGATACACCCCCAGGGGGCCATACGGACGCACCACTCATCGAGGATGGACGCCCTCCCATCGTATATCCCAGGGCTCGGCTCCAAAGCTCTGGCCCATTCGACAACCCGCGACGCCTGGGATAGGGGTCGACACATCCCGTGTTATACAGGACAGGGATGCCATGCTGGATCTGCAGTTGCTGAAGCCTCGTCCTCGGGGCCCCGTCCCGCGGGACCCCATCTCTGGACCACCGACGGGCGGCACCCGGAGGCAGTCCTGGCTTGGGGGCCAGTCCAGGGCGGTCTCGGCGCCCCCCGCGCCGCCTCCGGCAGCGCCGCCTGGGCTGAGACCGTCCTGGAGCGGCTTGCCGAGGCCAGCCTGGGCCACGTTCGCGTCCCGCCGCGCCCTCCCCCCTCGTCTACCCCCCCCCCCTCTCTGCCCGAGCCCCGAGCCCAGGGCCACGGCGAGTCTCGGCGTTCGGCAAGTCATGTCCTTCAGCGTCCCTCACTGCAGACAGACACATAGTTAGAGTTGGGAGACATGGCCAGGTCGTCCCTAGTATCGCGTATGTTGAGAAGGTGTGTATTTCGCAGTCGTGCCCTGCATCTTCCCAATCCCTCCCAACACGATCGTTATATTTTTTATCCTTCTCCTTCCAAGCCCCAGAAAAGGCTGGGTTTCGCTCGTGGTTGGGGGAATTACCCACGTATGTGTGTATATATATATATATGTACACACATTTTCCATCTTATATGTATGTGTATCATATATATATATATATATGTATTCACACATTTATATATATATATATATATATATATAATTATATATGCACATACATTGATATATTCCCTCGGCTAGATATTTTATATGCTGGAATCCTACGACCCACCCCCCCTAAACGGTACCCCTCCGGATCCTTCGCCCCAGAGGCACCCTGGACGCCCTTGCAGACGGTCCCCTGAGCATTCCGGGGCTCCTGGAGCCCTTGCTGGGCCAAGGCAACGGGCCCACATCGTTCAGGAGGACAGCCAGACGGCCCCGCGAGAGCCCACAGAGGCCTCAGACACTCACCAGCGGCCGGAAGACGACCCACAGAAGACTTCCAAGATGCATTCGAGAAGCAAAACAAATGATTCCTGCGGTATTGCATGAATTTGGGAGTGCTCAGTTCTTCGGTCTTCCGGGCGTCCGAGACTGCCCAGGAGGCCAGAGCATCGCCCCAAGCTTAACCAAGAGGGCTTCCAGGCAGTCTAAGAGGAGCCCCAAGACGGCCCAACAGGGCCCGAAGAGAGCCCCATGACGGCCCAAGATGGCCCCAAGACGCATCCCGAATCATTCCAAATCGTGACCCGGTCGTTCAGTGAGACCGCGGTTGGAAGCAGGGTGGCCCAGGGAAGCCCCCAGTGGCCTTCAGAAGGAACCCAGGAGGCTTCCAGGAGGCCCCAATAAGCCCTTGAAAACTCTCGTGAGACTTACAAGAGGCTCTCCTAGGATGAGCCTCAACAAAAAAAAGAGCTGAGGATGGTGGCGAATTCGCAGGGTAGGGCGAGAATGAGGAAGAGGAAGAGGAAACACGAGGGAATGATAACGAATCACATTCTTACAACGACGATGCCAGAAAAGGCAACAGCGAGTTGACACTAAGTGTTCCGCTTTACCTTCGTGACCTTCGTGCCTTACTCTCTGCATGCCAAGCCTGAGGGACCAAAGTGCATCGCGCGAAGCGCCAATGCAGAATATATGTTCACGCATATATATATATATATATATATATATATGTATATGTATGTATGTATGTATGTATGTATGTATGTATGTATGTATTTATGTCTGTGTGTGTATGTATGTATGTATGTATGTATGTATGTATGTCTTGGATGTATGTATGTATGTATGTATGTATGTATGTATGCGTGTATGTATGTATGTATGTATGTATGTATGGACGTATGTATGTATGTACGTACGTACGTACGTACGTACGTATGTATGTATGTATGTATGTATGTATGTATGTATGTATGTATATACACATATCCACACAGTCCATACATCTATATATATATATATACACATACATACCTATATATATATATATGCATATGTGTATATATATATAAATATCCACGGCTTCACGAGCCAAGGTCCTGCGGGCCGCGACACCATACAGTTTAGGTTGCGGTGCGTTTTTTGGTTCACAGATGCCCCGCGCGGGGCGTTATGCTAAGCCGCCACGCATCCTTGGGAGAGAGTCTGGGGCGGAGCGGCATGGTTACCTGTCGATTGCGAAGGCCTTACGGCCTGTGCCGCCGACCCTGAAGGGGGACAACGAGACGGCGACGACGACGACGACGACGGTGGCGGCGGCGGCGACGACGACGATGCTGACGTGGGTCCCGGGAGAGGTCTGGGGAGCAGCGGTATGGGCACGTTTCGATTTCCCCAGAACCTATGCTCTGCGGCATCAGATCCGATATTGTGTTGCTGACGCAGATTCTTCCCTCCCGATCCGCCCCTGATCCTCCTCGGATGTCTCCTTCTCTGGGCGTTGATGCCGGTCATACTGTCGCCGTTGTTGTTGCTCCTGGTGCTGCTCCTCATCCTCGTGGAACTCCTGCGCAGCAGGCAGATTTTGCAAAGCCAGCCAAACTAGTCTAGCTAAATCACCAGACTAGGCAGACCAGATGCAGTAGCCATTCGACAAACCAGCCAAGACCAACCGACCAACCAGACCAGACCAAGCAGACCAGACCAGGAGAACCAGATGAACTATTCGACCGACCAGACCAGACCCGACCAAGGCCAGCCAAGCGAACCGAACAAACCAAGGCTAGCCAATCGCCGAGCTTTGCCAACCGCCGAGCTTTGCTGCACTGGCGGTCCATGCATGTCCACGTGCCCCCCCAGGCAGCGCGAAGCCGATGGCAATCTGACGCGAAGCCGATGGCACTCATACTCCTATGCGAGCGCGCTGCACCTGTGCTGCGGGAGCGCAGACCGCGTGAGTTGATGGCAATCAGGTTCCGATGCGAGTCCTGGGGCCAGGCGGACGATGCTGTGCATGCTCGGAGATCTGCTGTCCACTGCCTGCCTGCGGGTACACCTCAACTAGGACCGTGTCGCCCGCGCTGGCAGCGGTGAACGTCGGGTGCAGCACGTAGACCTGGAACCTGGTGGCCTCGGGGTCGCCGTCACCCCAGAGGTCGACGTCCGTGTCGCTCAGAACAGGCACCCTGTCGAAGTCCCCGTCGACGTCGTCGTCCAGCGCATCGGCGTCGAACCTGATGATCGGCACGCTGGGCAAAAGGATAGTGATGTGGTCATGCCGTTTGCCGAACTGCGTGCCCATTTCATGACTCACCCAATAATCGATTCGGCCCTCTGGCGCAAGGCCGTATACGGACCGCACGTGCTGCATTAGGAAGTCTATCTGCCAGAGTCAGCCGTAGCTCTGCGTAATTCGCCACAGGGAATGCATTCGGGTGGCGTCCCGCTCCCACGTCGCGACGTCCTCGACGACGTCCGCTGCAACGGCAGGCGGCCCATGGACGCCTCCGTAGTCGCAGATCAACCGCTGGCACAGCTCGTGCTTCGACGCGACGCACGTGCGCGTGACGAAGAAAGTTGCCTTGAGGCCTTCGTCGTCGCACTGAGCGAGCATCGCCTCCAAGTCCGACAGGTACCTGCCCTTCTGTTTCGGGGATCCTAGGAGGGGCGTCGTAAACATGCTCAGCATGCCCACAAGCTCCTTCACGCCGTTCTCCGTTATCAGATTCTCTTCGGCCTCGCGAACATCGTTGCGTGCCCCGCGCCAGAACGCCAAACTCGGCCACACCAACCAGGCCGAAACTGCTTTTCAAACGACACCTGCAATGCACACACAACTACAGTGCATCAAGAAACCAGATCCGGCAGACCAGCATACCAGCAGGTCAAACCAGCCAGGGTGGGCCATGATGGAGAGACAACCGAGACATGATGCAACTGCGCGCTGTGCGCTTTGCGCTGGGTTGCGCGGTAGAGCAGACCAACCAGACCAACCAAACCAGCAAGCGATCTAGACCAGCCAAGCCCAGACCAGAGCATGCAGATCAACCAGACCAACCATATCAACAACACTACGACTGCATCGCAGACTTATCCTGGCAACCATATGCAGGTCGTTGCGGGTGTCGCCTTCGGGGGATTTCTTCGTGAGGCCATGAAGCATGCGAAGGGTGTGCCGATATGGGGCGGGGCCGCCAAGTTGGCGCTGTCACTGGGGCTTTAGGCGAAATCCACGATGGGGCCGCGAAACGGGCGGGGCCGCCACTGCGGCTTACGGTGGAGCTCCCTACGGCGCCACGAAACGTTGTACTGGGTGGGGAACGTATGTAGTCACCGCCACTGGGGCCTTTGCTGGAGCTCCCTCTTTCCCTACGGGCCACGAAGCGCTGTGTTGGGTGCAGGTCCCGCATGTGAACGCCGTCACGGGCCTTTGGTGGACCTCCCTATGATGGGGCCACGGAGCGCTATGCTGGGTGGGGGAGACGCATGCGAACACCGCCATTGGGGTCTTCGGAGGAGCTCCCTATGGGGCCACGTGTGAGGGATGCGCCGGAATGGGTGGCGCGGGCGCATGTGGGCACCGCAAGTGGGGCCTTCGGTGGAGCTCCCTCTGGGGCCACGAAGCGTGTGAGGGGTGTGCCGAAGTGGGCGGCGCGGACGCATGTGGACACCGTCACGAGGGCCTTAGGTGGAGCTCCCTTTGGGTCCACGAAGCGTGTGAGGGGTGTGCCGAAATTGGTGGCGCGGACGCATGTGGACACCACGACTAATCATTGGGGCTTTCGGTGGAGCTCCCAATGGGGCCATGAAGGGTTGGAGGGGTGTCTTGGCATGGGTGGCGTGGGCGCATGTGGACACCGCCACGAGGGCCTTCGGTGGAGCTCCCTACGGGGCCACGAAGCGTGTGAGGGGTTTGCCGAAATGGGTGGCGCGGACGCATGTGGACACCGCCACTGGGGCTTTCGGTGGAGCTCCCAATGGGGTCACTAAGCGTGTGAGGTGTGTGCCGAAATGGGTGGCGCGGACGCATGTGGGCAACGCCATTGGGGCCTCCGGTGGAGCTCCCCATGGGGCCACGAAGCGTGTGAGGGGTGCGCCGAAATTGGTGGCGCGGACGCATGTGAGCAGCGTCATTGGTGGTTTCGGTGGAGCTCCCTCTGGGGCCACGGAGCGTGTGAGGGGTGTGCCGAAATGGGTGTCGCGGGCGCATGTGGACAGCGCCACTGGGGCCGTCGGTGGAGCTCCCCATGGGGCCACGAAGCGTGTGAGGGGTGCGCCGGAATGGGTGGCGCGGGCGCATGTGGGCACCGCAAGTGGGGGCCCTATGGTGGAGCCCCCCAATGGGGCCACGAAGCGTGTGGGGGGGGGGCCGGAATGGGCGGCGTGGACGCATGTGGGCACCGCCTCTGGGGGCCTTTGGTGGAGCCCCCCATGGGGCCACGAAGCGTGTGAGGGGTGCGCCGAAATGGGCGGCGCGGACGCATGTGGACACTGTCACGAGGGCCTTAGGTGGAGTTCCTTTTGTGGCCACGGAGCGTGTGAGGGGTGTGCCGAAATTGGTGACGCGGACGCATGTGGACACCACCATTAATCATTGGGGCCTTCGGTGGAGCTCCCAATGGGGCCACGAAGCGTGTGAGGGGTGTGTTGACATGGGTAGGCACCGCAACAAGAGGGGCTTTCGGTGGAGCTCTGGGGCCACGAAGCGTGTCAGGGGTGCGCCGATGTGGGTGGCGCGGACGCATGTGGACACCGCCACGAGGGCCTTAGGTGGAGCTCCCTCTGGGGCCACAGAGCGTGTGAGGTATGTGCCGAAATTGGTGGCGCGGACGCATGTGGACACCCCCATTGGGGCTTTCGGCGGAGCTCTCTACGGGGCCACGAAACGTGCGAGGGGTATGCCAAAATGGGTGGGAGAAGGGAGGAAGGGGGGAGAAGGAAGGAAGGAATGGCGCGGGGCGCTGTCTTGTCAGAAACGAGGACCCAACACCACAGGACGGTTTGGAAAAATCTGCGATGGAACAATCTGGTCCAGGCAGACAATCCAGAATATCAAGTCAACCCAGCAGCGTAGACCAACAAGACCAACCAGACCAGCTGGCCAGACAAGTCAGCGGGACCAGATCAAGCAGACCAACCAGACGAGCCAGCCATTGAGACTAGCGAAGCCCAGACGAGACGAAGCAGACCAACCAGACCAACCACACCAGCCAATCCAAAACTGCATTGATAAACATTGCGCTGCTACAATAAACCAACCAGACCAGCCATGCAAACACCGAGTGCAACCCCAGACCAGCCAACCATCCAAATCAGCGAAATACAAACCGAACTGAACAGATCAACGTGATCAGCCAGACCAAAACGGAAGCGGAAACAAGTGCTACGGAACAAAACACCTGGGCGAATATCTTGAACCAAGCGGGCCAGCAAGACCAGCAAGTCAACCCAGTCTAGGTAGCCATAAAAACCAGCCAAGTATAGACGAGTCTTCGAAGATCTTCGCCAAGCAGAGCAGCAAAACATTCGAAAAGAAAACGGCAGTGCAAAATAAAGCTGCAGTGCAACACAACATAGTAACCAGACCAGCCAGACCAACAACGAAGTATATTAACCAGGCCAGCCAGACCACCCAGCCACCCAGACCAGCGAAGTTCAAACACCAGACTGCTCAGATCCACGTGACCCTCCGGACCAACACGGCAATGCAAAAAAGTGCAATGGAAATACAGTGTGTTGCATAAAAGCTTGGTGCAGGCAGTGCATCATCATCGTCGGAACCATTCCCACCCCCACTGGGGCAGGGTAAGTCGGCTTTTCCAGCGTATCCCCTCTAGGTGGGGATGAGTGCTCCGAAACCCGAAGGAGACGGTACCCACCCCCACCTCAGGGGGGGTCGATTGCCCAGCGGGGCCAAGGTTTCCCCGGTGGGGCGGGGATTGTTCTCTTCGTCCAGAGTCCGGCAGCATCAGCGAGTCGAACCAGACCAGGCAGCCGCTCAGACCAGCCAAGTCCAGGCCAGACTAAGAACATCTTCGCCAAGAGGACCAGTTTGGAACGCAAGCAGCACTACAATGCAACCCAAATTGCAATGCAAAAAGACCATGTGTGGCTGTGGTCGTGGTTGGCGCTGCGCGCTTCGCACCTCCCTGGGGCCTCCTCAAATCACGTTCGGCTCGCACGCGGAAACATAATCATAAGCTCAAGTCCTCGCAGCGAAGCAGCGGCATTCCGAAGCAGAAGACACACGCAAAGGAAAACACATGCGATAAACAGACAATGCTTTGCTGTGGCCGTGGTGGTTGGCGCTGCGCGTGTCGCACCTCCCTGGCCCTCCTCAAACCACCTTCGCGCCCGCGCGCGGAATCATAGTCATAAGCACAAGACCTAGCAGCGAAACAGCAGCACTCCAAAGCAGAATAGCATGGCAAAGGACAAACATGAACTGCAACACAACACAATGTTTTGCTGTGGTCGTGGTGGCTGGCGCTGCGCGTTTCGCACCTCCCTGGGCCTCCTCAAACCACCTTCGCGCCCACGCGCGGAATCAGAATCATAAGCTCAAGTCCTCGCAGCGAAAACAGCGGCACTCCGAAGCATAAACATTGGCATATAAAAAACCATGTAAAGCAAAGTTCAATGTTTTGCTGTGGTTGTGGTGGCTGGCGCTGCGCGTTTTGCACATTCTTGGGCCTCCTCAAGTCATCTTCGCGCCCACGCGTGGAATTATAATCAAAAGATGAAGCTCGTAGCAGCGAGTCAATGGCAATCCGAGGCAGGCCAATATTGCACTGCGAACAAAAATGCAGTGCAACAAAACTGCAATGCAACAAAGACACAATTACACAAACAACTGTTTTGCTGTGGTCGTGGTGGTTGGCGCTGCGCGCTTCGCACTTCTTTGGACCTCCTCAAACCACATTCGGCTCGAACGAGGAACCATCATAATGAGCTCAAGCTCTAGCAGCGAAGCAGCGGCCTTCCGAAGCTCAAGCGCAAGGATGAAGTTTGAAGCTTGCTCGTTTGAAGCGTTGCGCCCCGCCGTGCGCTACCCGACTGAGAACTTTACCCATGCAGCTGCGTATCCAAGGGATCGCACCCCGGAGTCTAGACCGAGGCGGCGTAGATGTGGACGTGTTCGCAGCTCCCGGTCCGTGTACGTAAAAGTACTGCTCTGGGGGGCCGTCCGCACGCCGCCTCGAAAGCCCTGTCGCAGAGGACCTGAGGGACAGGGTCTTGGCCCGCACCGCGGGCGCCGAGGCGCTGGGCGACGCGAGGCTCGGCCAGGTCCTCGCCCTGGCCCAGGACATGATCCAGGCTTGCGGAAGTCGATAAGTGGAGAGGAAGCATGCTGCCAAAGAATTCCCAGATGTCTAAGCAATGTTCCAAGCAGGTTTTAACTATGTAGAAACCACTCTGACACATGTTTAGAACATGTTTTACACATTTTAAATACATGTTCAAACATGTTCAATTCTACGATGGGGTTGTTAGGGTGTCCATTGTCATGGCATCCACAATTCCAGGTCCTGGAGCCGCGCCAGGGCGAGGTCGCCCTCGCGCTGCACGTCGGTGGCGAGCGGCGGGTGCCGTCCACGGCGGAGCTCGCCGCACGGTGCGGGCGCTTCGAGGCGGCGCTGGCCGGCATCACGGACGAGCTCGCCGCGGGCCGAGCGCCGTGCTGCCAGGTCCGAGCAGGAAGAGACCGCGCAACCACGAACGGTCCGAGCGCCGCGCAGATCTCCTGGATCTGCGCGGGGCCCCTCTGGCGGAGCCCCCGGCGACGCCCCTGGTGGCGCTGCTCGCGCCAGGGAGGGGGGGTGTCCAGCGCCGATGCGGGACATCTGCGCGGGCCTCGGACAGTGTCGGGCGGGGCTAGGATCGAGAGAACTCCGTTCCAGAGCGTTCCAGGACGCTCCGAAACGGCCGCGGCGCCCGATGCATCTTCCCAGCCCGCCGATTCTCAGAGGTTTCTTAGCTAGATCTGCTGGATTACCTCTCGATTCTGCCTTCGTCTGAAAGTTGATGTTAGTGCCTGTTCCCTCCCCACGATCCCAGGTGCCGAGCAGCGCTCCCAGCGGGGAAGGCCCGAGGCGGAGGCTCAAGAGGGCACGCTCAGTGCTGTGGAGCTTCTCCAAGCCTGCAGAACTCGAGGAGCTGGGGCCCCTCACCGCCAGGTACCGGCCGGGACTGGGACGAGGATAATTCCGTCCAGGAGCGTTCCGGAACGCTCTGGCAATGTTCTGGGACGCTTCGACGTCCTCCAGAACCGCTGGATCTCAGAGACTCTCGATTTGTCCTCGCCCGAGTTCCTCCTCGTCCGGGCTCCGCCTCGAGGTACGAGCTGGCCCGCCGGCAGCTGGAGGTCGCCGAGCCCGCCGAGCGCGCGGCGCTCGGCGCGGAGTGGGCCTGCGGCGTCCTGGAGGAGCTCCTCGAGAGCCTCGGTGGGCGCGTGGACGAGGAGCGGCTGGTCAGGGAGCTGCAGAGGCGCGCCAGGGGCCTGCGGAGCCGGCACGGGCCGGCGGTGAGCTGGCACGAGAGGAGGGAGGCTCGCGTGTGGATCTCGGCGCTGGTGGCGATCGTGGAGGCGGAGGTCTGCGGCGGCACGCCCAAGGGGGGTAGAGGCAGGGGGGAGTCCTCCTAGGAGGGTGCTGCTTCCTAGAAAGGCACCGGCCCGACATCTATGGATGAGGCCCGCGCCTTCTAAGGAGCAGCCTCCTTCTATCGGGGGAGCGTAAGACCCGGGTTTGCCGGGACTCGGGTTCGCCATCGTTTTTTGACGACCGCGCATCGGATTCTGACGAGGAGGAGTTTCGTGGGATGTCTGCAGCGGGAGGCCTCGTCAAAATGCAGGCTCGGCCTCGTCATTTTTTTGACGACCTCGTCGGGGATTTCCGAGTCCCCTGTGCCCAGGTCTTACGTCCCCCTGATTCTAAGGCGCCTCGCCCTCCTCTCCCTGCCTCCCTCTGCGCGTGGCCTTGGCCTGGGGGCGTCTGCCTGCACGCCTGCACCGCACCGGGCCAGGGCCGCCCCGGGGCCTCCCCGCCCGGAGCAGAAATGGGCCAGGCAACAGCTGCTGTCTTTGTTTTCTTAGCGCTGGTCAGTTGGCCAAGCGCATCTGAACCGGCAGGATGTCCAGAAGTACATCTTTGAATCTACACATTTATATTTATTTGTATATATATGCACATATATATATATATATATGTACTTACGTATGTCTGTATATCTGCCTATGCATATATATATATATGTATATGGTATATATATATGTATATACGCATACATAAACATATATAAGTGTACATATATACATATGTATATATATATATATATGTGTCTATATCGATCCATCTATCTGTACCGTAAGGGCTTCGCCCCATGCCGCCGGCCCCCTGTCTCGGATCATGGGAGATGCAAAAGCTAAGTCATGAGGTCTGGGCGCCGCCGTGAAGCAGTGTCGGGACCTGTTTGTCTTTCGACCCTGACCCCGCCGATCTGCGTGAGGGGTGCCACCGAATTTCAGGAATGTTGCAAATCCCTTGTGTTTTTGGACCCTGACCCCGCCGATCTGCGTGAGGGGTGCCACCGAATTTCAAACATGTGACAAATCCATATGCTTTTGGACCCTGACCCAGTTTTTCGACCCTGTCCCCGCCGATCTGCGTGAGGGGTGATTCCGAATTTCAGAAATGTTGCAAATCCCATATGTTTTTGGACCCTGACCCAGCCGATCTGCGTGAGGGGTGATACCGAATGAAAAAAATGTGGCAAATCCCTTTGTGCTTTTCGACCCTGACCCCGCCGATCTGCGTGAGGGGTGCCCCCGGATTTAAAACACGTGGCAAATCCGATATATTTTTGGACCCTGAACCTGCCGATCTGCGTGAGGGGTGATACCGAATGAAAAACATGTGGCAAGTCCCATGTGTGTTTCGACCCTGACCCCGCCGATCTGCGTGCGGGGTGCCCCCGGATTTAAAACACGTGGCAAATCCGATATATTTGTGGACCCTGAACCTGCCGATCTGCGTAAGGGGTGATACCGAATGAAAAAAATGTGGCAAATCCTTTGTGGTTTTCGACCCTGACCCCGCCGATCTGCGTGAAGGGTGCCACTGAAGTTTAAAACATGTGGCAAATCCTTTGTGTTTTTGGAACCTGACCCGCCGATCTGCGTGAGGGGTGCCATCGAATTGCAGGAATGTTGCAAATCCCTTGTGTTTTTGGACCCTGACCCCGCCGATCTGCGTGAGGGGTGCCACCGAATTTCAAACATGTGACAAATCCATATGTTTTTGGACCCTGACCCCGCCGATCTGCAGGAGAAGTGTTACCGAATTTCAGAAATGTGGCAAATCCTTTGTGTTTTTCGTCCCTGTCCCCGCCGATCTGCGTGAGGAGGGATACCGAATTTCAGACATGTTGCAAATCCCATATGTTTTTGGACCCTGACCCCGCCGATCTGCGTGAGGGGTGATACCGAATGAAAAAAATGTGGCAAATCCCTTTGTGCTGTTCGACCCTGACCCCGCCGATCTGCGTGAGGGGTGCCCCCGAATTTAAAACATGTGGCAAATCCCATATGTTTTTGGACCCTGACCCCACCGATCTGCGTGAGGGGTGCCACCGAATATCAGAAATGTGGCACATCCCATGTGTTTTTCGACCCTGACCCCGCCGATCTGCGTGAGGGGTGCTACTGAAGTTTAAACATGTGGCAAATCCTTTTTGTTTTTGGACCCTGACCCTGCGGATCTGCGTGAGGGGTGTGAATGTTTACTCCCCTCAGAAATTCTGAGAACCCTCCCAGGGCGTGGTAGTTCTGCTGGTTTGGGCTCCCCCCCGCTCGCGCGTTCATCATCAAGGAATAGTAAGCAGCAAGAAGCAGAACTGGAACAGTGGAAACTGGAAGCTGCAACTGGCACAGGGAGCAGCACATTCCCAGCCTACAGCCTGGTGGCCCCGCAAGGGGGCCGGCGGATACACACACACACACACACATATATATATATATATATATATATATTGTTTTTGGGATATACATGTATAGATACATCGGTCGATCGATCTATCCATATATATATACACATGGATGTAGTAGCTATCTCTATATATAGGTATGTATATATCTAGATATCGATGTCTATACCGATATATATATAGATGTATACATACATACATATCTATGTATCGATCCATCCATCTATCTTTATCTTTAAGAATATACGCGTATATAAAGGTAGATAGGTAGGACGGAATCGCAGCACGCCCAGGGAATGTGGGGCAGCCGGTCCCCTGCCGACCAGGATGGCATGGTGGCACGGCGCGATTCGGGCGCGCAGGTGGCGAAATCCCTTGAGATCCGTCGTCCCGAACGCATGGCAGCACCGCACAATTCGCGGCCTGAGCCCTGGGCCTTAGACCCGGACATCCTCTCTTCCCTGACTTTGTTCCGGGCCGGACCGATATCCGCGAGGGCGCCGTGGCGCAAGACGGGGCGCACTCGCCGGGCGCGGCGGCACTGCGGCGGCAGGATCTCAGGGCCCCCCGTCCCGGAGGGCTCGGAGTGGCTCTCGGTCGCCGCGGACGCCAGGAGCAGACGAGCCAAAGCCTGCACAACTCAGCGTCACTGAACCGATCCCTATCCCCATCCCCACCATCCCACCACCCCAGTTGGGGATACGCCCCTCGAAGCCCGAATGGGGCAGCCTAAGTCCCCTATCTAGGGATACTGTAAATCGGCCAGTGGGGCCTCGGCCACACCACTGGGGATTGGGATTCGGGGAACAAGCAACGACACAAACAACAAGACTCGAAGGTCCGCGCGGATGTCTCGGATCGGCTCTGGACCCCCCTCCCTTGCGCGTGGAGCGCGCCAGGGGCGGCGCTGGCACTGGCGCGCTCCGCGCGCCAGGGAGGGGACCCCAGTGCCGATCCGAGGAATCTGCGCGGACCTGTGATCTTGGATGTTTATGTTATTGTGTGTTCCTGCAAATCTCTCCGCTCTCATCTCTTTCGCTTCGTGCCAGTATTAGCTTCCAGTACAGCCCGCCGCTCTCTTTGACCGGCGCCTGACCGTCTCGCACACCTCAGCGTCCGCGGACCAAGAAGTTCCTGTAGATCAGAGGATCAAGAGGTCGTGATGAGCATACGTTCCAAGAATTTCAAGGTACCCAGATTTCCGAATGTCCCACGCGGCCGCAGAAACGAGGGCTGCTAGGTAATCCAGAAATCCTGAAACGCACCCTGAGCCAATCCGATCATGACAGAACCATCGTCCTTGTAGACAAGATTCGGTTCAACGGTTCCAGAGCTCCGCGTGGGACTGCCTTGAGACTCCGCGCTGGAGTTGTCGCTCCTTGGCACGACCGGGAGCGGGCCAGGAACGGCGCAGGGAAGCGCCGCTCTTGGGGGCCCTTCGCACCGATGCACGAGGAGTCCGCCTGGGGCTCCGGAGGTTGTCGGTTACGAGAATTGGCAGCGCGCGCAGGGGGGCAGCCCGAGGGGTGCGGCCTTCTAAGAAGTTGGGGGAGCTGCTGAGAGGGCAGGGGCCTCCTTCGAAGCCCTCCCGGCTTCGATGAATTCTGCATAGAAGTTCCCAGGCCCTTCCAATAACAAGCTCTTGTTTCATATGGAAGCGCTCCCCGTGGCCATGCTTGGTTGACAGATCCTCTGGTGTGCTGTGGTCTGATCACAACGGAAATCACCAACAATGGTATTCCAAATCCCTTCTTAATCGTCCCCCGGGTCCAGTTGTTCAAGGCGCCTTTTTTGTCATTGGGGGGGTCCGGTTTATCAGGGCGCTTTCTTTGGATTGGAGCTTACGGGGTCTGGTTTATTAAGGCGCCCCATCGAAGAGGGGGGTCCAGAATATTATGTCGCATCTGGAGGGGGGTCTGGTTTTTTAGGGGAGGGCCGATTTTGTGGGGGGTTCTAGTAGCACATCCATTGGTCTGCAAATCCTCTGGTCCTCCAGCCCTTCGAAGGAGGCCCCTGCCTTTCAAGAAGCGCGCCGCCCTTTTTGGAAGGCCGACCCCTTCGCTTCGTTCCCTTAGGCGCGCCGCCAGGGCTGCAGGATGCGCAGAGCCCCTGACGACACAGCCTTCTCGAGTCACACCCCGTCCGTGTTTTGAGACCACGTCTGAGGCGGGAGCGCTGGTGGGTAGGTTCATTCTCGTGCTCTGCTTTCAGGCTCCCCGAAAGGGAAAACGTCCCGTCGGCATGGGAGAACGGGACATCCAGAGCAAGAGCAGCTGGCCACAAAGGGTCACGACGCCGAGCCCTCCCACAAACTCGGTCCGGTATGGGAGCGCGCGCACCAATTACGCAGTGGTTTTGTGGAGGACGATCAGTGAAGAGGAGGCATGTTGTCAAATAGTTTCCAGATGCCGAACAATTGTTATTAACATGTCTTTAAACATGTCTTAAACATGTAAAAACAGGTTCGACACATGTTTAGAATGATACCGGAGAAAAATCAATCAATTTTTGGTTGGGGCTATGGGGCTATAGGGCTACAGGGCTATTGCTATAGGGCTACAGGGCTACCGGGCACCCGGGCACCCACGGGCACCCACGGGCACCCGGGCACCCGAGCACCCGGCCATCGGCCACCGAAACCTTGGGGCACGGGGCACCCACGGGCACCCGGGCACCCGGGCACCCGGCCACCGGCCACCGAAATCTTGGGGCATTGGGCACCCACGGGCACCCACGGGCACCCACGGGCACCCGGCCACCGGCCACCGAAACTTTGCCGAACAAATCTTAACCTTTTCGAATCCGCTATAGGACCCCTACAGAGGCGAGCTCTGATTGGGGAACACGTGTCCGACATGTTCAACACATGTTTAATTCAAAGATGGAATTGTTCGGGTGTCCATGGATATGGCGTCCGCAACGGCCCTGACCTTCCAGAGAGCTGTTTTCTAGCACTGGAGACCTAAAAGCTTAGAGAGCTGAGCTGAGCGAATCAGCCTGAAACCAAGACGTAGAGTAGCTCTGGGATAGGTTGTTAAGTCGGGTGCGATTTTTTGGCCCTCCTGGAAGGTCAGGGGGTGGCCTGCTGCCTCCCAGGAGGGCGCCCGCCCCGCCCCGGGTCGTGCTGCGGAGGGGGGCGGGGGGCGCCGCCGCGCACCCGGGGGCGGCGCTGCGCCTGCAGGCCGCGGCGCTGCGGGCCAGGGGCCAGAGGCTCGTCCGCCAGGCCGCCGTGGGGGGCTCCTCCTCCTCCTCCTCCTCCTCCTCCTCCTCCTCCTCCTCCTGGGGGTGGCGATGCCGTAATGCTGTGTGCCACAAGAGCTGTCGACGATGACGGGAGAGGCGCCACGGCCAGCACTGCGGGACCGCCGGGAGCCCTCCGCCGATGCGTCACTGGCGGCGGGGAGGTATCGGTCCCGCGTCCGAATGCGATCACGTTCACGGACGTCAGGAGCACCGTGAGAGTCCCGAAGATCACGCAGCCGCGCCGAAGGAGAAGAGGCACGTGGAGTGGACGATGCAGAACGTGATGAGGCCGTCGGCGCCCGTCGCTCTTCCTTTGCCTTGCGGGACTTCCGTTCATGACGACTGCCGCCCATGGGCACCTGCAAGCACTAAGAGCGGCGAGACTCAAGACGGCAGCGCGGAGCTCCCCGCCCAGGTCCTGAGAGAGGGTGTCGGGCTGAACAGCCCTGGCACTGCCGCGGACTAGCGGTATCCACTTGTTCCCCTGCGGAACAGCATCGCCACCCCCATCCCAGCTGACGAAGGGCAAGTCCCAGCTGGGGGTGCGAAGGCCTCGCCCTCTCCGTCCCCATGGCCGACTCCACCAGCATCGAGGCCGTGGGCGACTCCTGGCACCCCCGCTGAAGGCCGTGCCCCTGATCCCTGGGCTACAGCAGCTATGCCCAATGGAACCACACCGCATGATGGAGGCAGCAATGTTGCCCAATCTGTGGACTCTTTCCAGGCGGAGGCCATGCAGGCCTTCACACAGAAGGCGATGGAGACCATCCTGGCTCAGCTTCCTGCCGCACTCAGCGCGGCCACAGTACCGCTCATGGAAAAGTATGAGGAGCGCTTCAATCAGCAGCTTCGACGTGTTGATGGGGAGGTCCATGCACAGCGCGCGCGGTCGGACCTTCTCGACAGCACCGTGGCGGGCCTCGCTCATCGTTTATCGCACTTGGAGAAAGAGCTGGACCTCGCCAAGACGAAGCCACGTCTTCCTGTTGTTCCGAATCCAGAATGGGACAGGGACGTGGACCTCACCATCCTCACTGTGCGGGCGTCATCAGCCGTCGCTAAGAACGCTGTGGCGGCGGCATTGGCTCCTTGGCTCACCGAAGCTAATGTCCCTCTCGGGGATGGGGTGGAAATTCACGGAGATGATGTCGCCAAATCTTTCACTCTCGCATTTCAAGGCCCCATGGAAGCTACCCGTTCTTCGAGAAGGAGTCAGGCCCAGCAGCAGCTCCGTCTGCCAAACGGGTCATGGCGCGCATTCCATGTTGATGTGGGCACTGAGTCAGTACCGATCCACATTTCCGCGGACAAGAACAAGAAGATGGTTGCCACAGAGATTGCATGCAAGAAGCTGCAGAGGTGTCTCGCCGACCGTGGCATCCGCACTTTCCTCGACAAGGATAATGGTCAGCTCATGGCCAAGTGGGAGCCCTTGGCGCGAGTGCTCCCATTACCTGCGAGCAGAACGCCGAAAGTGGAATGGAACCTCTCTGCACTCGCCGACAATTGCTTGTCCAGGGAGGAGGCCAATGAGCTGGTTCGCCAGGTCTTCGACACACGTGAAGTACGGTGGAGTGGGTAACGAGATGTTTGGCGTGGGATTTCTAGCTTTCACGACCTGGAATTCAGGGGCCCTGTTACACTACAGACCAGCGATTTTGAGCAGGAAGCTCAGCTACCTGAGCAATCTGTTGGGGGCTGGCAAAGTAGTGGCGATACAGGAGATCCACGGTGGTGAATATGCTATGGAGGAAGCTCTTCAGAGGATTCATTGTACTTCGCATTCATGCTTCGTTTCTGAGTCTGGGATGCCGCGGACTGGAGGCGTTGCCACTCTCGTTCCCAAGGACCCACGCGTTCGAGCCAAGGGTAAGAGCTTTGTCGCTGGTCGGGTTCTTCTGGTTACTATCCATAATTCAGCGGTCGACTTCACCATCTACCACTGGAACGTGCACAATTTTGCCATCGACGCTGCTGGACTTAAGGAGGTCCAAGCATGTATAAAATGTCAGCTTCGGCGAGTGCGGGATGATCCGCTGAAGTACACGGTGATCCTCACGGGCGACTTCAACATTCCTGCGATGCCCATCGAGCACCATCGAGGAGAGGATCACACAAGTACTCCACGTTCGTCAGGCCGTGGGGGGCAGGATTCAGCCCTGCAAAGTCACAACCCCACGGCCACATGCACTCCGAGTTCGGCGGCATCGAGGACCACACCGGCCACCTGCACACCACCTTCTGGGCCATGTTCTCCGAGTCCGTCCTCTTCTTCGGCTTCGTCTCCTGCATCCTCCCAACCACCCGCAGCCTCCCTCAGTGCCGCGGCGACGAGGGCTTCACAGGGGAGGCAGGCCACACCTGCTTCGTTGCAGGCTGATGGTGCCCAGCGGGGCGACTCCACCTTGCGGATTGGCTCTACTCGGGCGTCCCGTCCTGGCGACTCGAGCTGGCTGAAGATTTTCAGGGAGATGACGGAGCTCGCCTCGGAGGCGCCAACCCACTGGCGCGCCTCGACTGCATGCGAGTCCAAAATTGATCGTCTCTTTGTCGCCTCACCGCCATGGCTCCTGTGTCAAACTGCTCAGCTAGTTTCGGTCCGTGATGAACCTCATGAGTTGGCCCATCGGGGTATTTCTGACCACTCGCCCCTGGAGGTCGTCTGGCGCCCAAGGGACCACTCCAGAACGAAACGACAGAGGCCCCTCCCGCGGTGGGTGTACAAAGACAAGATTTACGCTCAGCTAGTCTCCCACATGGAATCCCAGGTGGGCATAGAGGGTCTCG